CCCTTCTAATGTTCCTTCCTTCTTAATGGTTTTTTAAACATAACACGCATATAAAAAACTGAGGTCGGAATTTGTACAAAGTTTTTTATTTTCTTTGTCGATTATGGCACTAAAGAACTCATTTTTAGAGACACAACAGCCTAACGAACACAACATTAAATATAAAACCCAAGCAGTCACAAAGAGATTTTTTTCCACCATATATGTTACGCTCTTTTTATACAAGGGCTAACAACTAAGGCACCGGACCACTGAGGGGCTGAAGCCATCCCCCCACTTTTTCAGAGTTAAAATTTTCTTGTCCGTTTTTGTATTATTTTTGACAACAGAGTATAAAATAAAAAGAGAACAAACTGTTTATATACTGCTTGATTTTGTTTAATCTATTGAAGACTTATTTAGGTTTTTTTCTTTTTTTGTCTATCATTTGCATCAAGTCAGTAGATAACTTTCTGTATCACTTCGTCTGCATTTTGGCTGTGTAAACATTGCTGCACCCTGGCACCACCATGTAGCTACGGCCTTGATTTTGGTAATTTTTGTCGGTATAAGAAAGGTATCGTGAAACAAATTCTACTGGTTTCCACTGATCTCTGTGCTGTTGGTATAGGATTGCTGCAGAACCATTTAGCAGTAAGCTTCCATTTATGTGCAGCTAAAATTGCTGCTTTAACCAGAACTTGATTTGTTTCTCTAAAGGCTCTTTCGTAGTTGACTGATAATACCCATGAATATTTTGCAATGAGCAGGCCTCGCAATGGCTCTGACGCTCTGGAGAATTCTGGTGTTAAGTTAGAGAGCTGCTGTGCCTTGCCAAAATTCTACGCAGCTCTGTGATGTTTTCCGGAGTGCTGAGAAGGAACTTAGCATCCACTATGGCGCTAAGATGGTCTCGTTTCCTGGATGGACTATTCCAAAATTTCTTTGCTTCTCATCCTTTCATTATTATACCCATTGATTAGCGTTGGCTGAAGAGTATTTCATTATGATGCAAGATGCACTATCTCAATTTTGTGTTTTTTTGTTAAATTTTGAAGTGCGAAAAATGTTATTGAGATATGTAAATTAAGTTTGTAAATGGCTGTTGTTTCACAAAAGCGGTTTCTTCATGTATATGTAGATAGGTTCCAAAACTGCTAGATGGAACGACGACGATCTAACTTTTTAGCTTGTATCAGCGGCGGATCCAGACTACCGCCATTACCGCTCGAGCGGTAGTCAGATTATTCAAAAAATTATAGAAACAAGGATCATTTTCATGTTTATCTTACTACTTTAATTAAACCTTATTTAATTATTGAAAATATTTGATCGCGCTGCAAACCAAGCCTTTTTTCCTAGGAACATGCCTGAAATTTCCACAGAAACAGAAATATTTTTTAATCCTTATCGCTATGGAAATTGCGTGCCAATTGCCGAGCCACATGTTTGCAAATAGAACGATGATGAAATCATGGCTTGCTAGCTAGTCTACTCTTCGCTGGACAAACTGTCTGTATTGACCTCGATTCTCTAGCCAATGTAGCACTGTGCTGCTGTCAGACCACAGAACTAACTCTTCTGGCTCCCAGTTCTTTAGAGTTTCTCTGACTGTTTTCAACAAACGTGCTGCGATCCTTGCTGCTGTTAGTTCCAACCTGGGTATTGTCATCTCTTTCCTTATTGGAGGTAGCCTTGTCTTTGCAGTAACAAGGTGTGCACCTGACTGGTTTTCATGGTGCCATACAAGATATACAGCAGTGCAATATGCAGCCTTGCTTGCATCACCGAAAACATGAATTGAAATCTTCTTTGGTCCACCGATTGCTGGCATAATGCATCTGGGAATCTTGAGTTCAGTCAACCTTGAAACAGCTTGCATCCATTTCTTCCATCTCATTTCAATCTCTGGGCTTACTGGCTCATCCCAATCCTTGTTTTCCTTGCAGATATCTTGGAATATCAGTTTTGCAGTAACTGCAACTGGGCCCACAATACCCAGTGGGTCATATACCTTTGACAGTCTGCTTAGGACTTCCCTCTTCGTCACTTTACCATTCTTCACATCTAGCACTGCTTCCATACTAATTCCTAGTGTGTCCTCTTCTGGATTCCATTTTAATCCTAAAATTTTACTTTGTGAATCTTTGGTTCCTAGGCTTTCCTTTGCATACGTTGAGTCGGTGTAGAGCGGATTCGAGCTGCACTGAGCGGTAGTCAGCCTGCCTAAACCAATCAAATCGTCAGAAATCACTGCCAACCTGGGGGGATGCATACAAATTTTGTTGACAACCAATGAACAACCGAGTTGACTACCGCTCAGATGGGGGGTTGAGTAGTACTGCCGCTCAACGTTACAGAAAGATGGGGGGGATGCCTACATATTCTGCAAGTGGGCAAACTGTAACTTCAAAGCCGATGTGACCCATTATTTTGTACAATACACAACTATTCGTAGGAATATATTTTAAAAGAATATTAAGACTCAAATATTCTAAAATTTAAGAAGGCATCAGGATTATAAGTCCGGCCCACATTATTCGCCAAAAGTATGATTCTTTGTTTAACAAAAGTTGCTCTCAATAATTGCAAATTTTATCTAGCTTTTTAAACTTGTAATTATCAACAGGTCTGATTTTCATAAGTAATTGTCCGACTAAATGCGAGTTTTAGGCAACACTTCAAAATTCTGCCAAATGTATCTTTTTTTCTAATTCTATGGTGTTCCTCGTCTAAATGCCGTACATTTTTTTTAGAATATCCATCCTCAGAATATTGAATAAGATTATTTATTTCTTCTAAAGCTTGTTGTAAGGATACATGAAATTTCAGTAAAGCACCGCTTGTCTCTTGAAAATGGTCTATATAAGAAATTATAGAAAGAATAATCATTTTAGAAAACCGGGTGTGATCAAAAAATGGGTGTGGTCTTAAGGGTGTGGTCAACCCTCTATCTCATTTCGGCGGTAGTCAGATTTTTGGCTGGATCCGCCACTGCTGTATCACTACCTTTTTAAGGATAAAGAACCTCAAAATAAAAAGCAACCCATAGAATGGAGTTGGGAAAAGTTATGGAGAAACTGCAAACTTAAAATTTTTATAAAGCCAGACTGCAGAAAGGGTTAGATTTCCACGTGATGCGTATCTAAAACAAACAAATTTTGTACTTTCAAGTTTTCAGTTGCTCTTTAAGGCTCAACTCTTATTAAAATTTTTTACATTAAAGGTAGACAAAAACGGAAACGTCATTATCCTTGTCTATTCTGATGTGAAATTACAAATTTGATCCAGATAGATACAAAATTATAGATACAGCAGGGCAGGCGAAACGTATTTGAAAGTGGAGGGGCCAAAATATCAAAAGTCTTGAAAGGGCTTAGGAAAGGCCGCCACCATGGTTGGAGGCAAGAAAATGTTTAGAATTATGGTGTCTTAGGGATGGCCAGAAACTGTATCTAAAATGAATTTTGACTGAAGGTGTCGCATAGTCGCATCTATTGTGATGTTGACTTGAAATAAAAAAGTTTTGCAAAGTTTTAGAACAACCACTATCATATAGCTCGTAATGGAACCTTTCTTTAGATTTTAAAAGTACCTGAAATAAGATGGAGGAGAAAAATAAATGAAACACGGATTAATAAAAAACATTAACGTTGAAATAT